TTTTTTAATTCATTTAATATTTTCTAAAAAAAAAAATAATAAATAAAGTTTTTTAGAAAAAGTGAAAAAAGAAATGAAGTAATAAAGAGAAAAAAATGAAATAAAAAGAAAAAAAGAATAAAGAAATTTATTTATTTATTTATTTTATATAAAAGTAGAAGAAATACAATATAAAAAAAAAATGAAAAAAGGTTAAATTAAACTTTTAATTGTACTTATTACTTAATCATATAAGTGATGTATGACATAATATAATTGATTAATATTTCACATATTTTTTATAATAAACTATTCAACTATAATTCAACAAAATCAAATATATATTTAGGTCAAATTTTTTTGAATTTAATTAAATATAAGTCAAATTATATTAAAGTCAAATTTTCTTATTTTAACTAGTAGCTAATATTTTGGTTTATTTAATTTATTTTTTTAAACTATTTTTACATTAGGTATTTCAAATGAATTTATATTCTAATAAATATAATGTACTTATACTTGATAATACACAAATTTATCATAATGATATTTTTATAAAATATATTGAAGCATTTGATAAATATATTAAATTTTTACTTTCTAATTTTAATTCTATTGAATCTAGTTTTTTTTATTATATAAAAAATATAGAGATTTTATTATTTATATAGTAACCTAAATATTTTTTTTTGTGGCATATAATCAAATTACTTCACAAATTTTTTAAAAATTCAATTTATATATAAAACATAAAATACTGTAAAAATATATACAGTGACACCTCTATAAGTGCACCCTCTATAAGTGCACGCACTATATAAATTCTCTTTAAGTGCACGGTGGATCTGATCCCAACTTATAAGAGCTCTTAATATTTTACTCTCTATAAATGCACACCCTCTCTAAGTGCACATTCTACTATTTTTTTACTATGGTCCCAAGGGGGGTGCACTTAGAGAGGTGTTACTGTATTTATTTATAAATTATACAAAATAAAATTTTATTACTAAAATTATATTTAGTAAAAGTAATATAAAAATTATTATTTTTGTAATATTATGCTGCAGCTTTAAATGTCTTATAGTTTGTATTATCCAATTTTACTTATATATAATTGGTTAAATTTAATATTGGTAAAATTATAAATTTAATTTACTACTATAATTCATTTATTTTCAAAAATATTTTTAAATTGTACAAATTTTTTATTTAATTTAGAAAAGAATTTATTAAGTAATAGAATAAATTATTGTAAAGATGACGATGCATGTAATAGTAAAGGTTTGGATTATTATTAAGGTTGCTTGCCGAAACCTAGGGGTTTAGGCAAGATGGTGTTTCGCCGAAAAGCAAAATTCTGCCGAAACTATATTAAAGTTATATTAAAAAACTGGTGAAACTTTGGAGAAAGACGAAACTGCCGAAACTTATTATAAATGCCAAAACTGCTGAAACTCTGCCGAAACTATAATAAATCTATAGTAAAATTTTGACGAAACTAATCGTAGGATTTTGAAGAGGTTTAGACAAGCAACCTTAATTATTATTATTTGAATTTTAGATAAATAAAATAAAAAAAATGATAATATTGATTGTATTGAATTAGAAATTGATAAATAAAAGAAATTGAATTTAATAGATTAAAAGAACTTTAATATAAGTAAATTGTAAAAATATTGGTAAATTTGCATTTAAATATCATCAGAATTATCATAAATTTAAAATAAAAATAAGAATTTATATAAATATATGCATTATTATATTATATAAAAAAATAATAATAGATTACAATTTCTTTAATCCAATATTGAAGATATATTACAATAAGTTTCAAGTGTCTTTTATTATTAATAAAGTATACATTATGATTTCTCTTAAATTATAAATAATATGTTTTGTTATAATATTTCAAAAAATTCTTCTAGTTTTAGAATGTATTTTTTTATATATTTTAACATTTTCATTTTTTAATTTTTCAAGATCTGAGATATTTTAAAAATAAAACAAATTTATGATATAATAAATAGTAATTTTTTTTAATCAAATTAAATTTTTTACTTTTTATTTTTTTTTATAGCTATAATAATTGTAACATTATCATAATTTTAACTCTTCTTTTCCTTTAGAAAATAATGTTATTTCTAGCTATCTTTTTAATCATATTTTCATAATTAATTTGAATATAACTATATAATTTGAATGAATTATTTTTTCATTACTAATTAGTTTTATAATGTAATAATAAATGTCAGAAATATTATTTAAAGATGATACTTTTATTTAATCTACTTAGATAGTAATATTAAATTCATAATAAGTTTTATTATAGATATAATTTGTAATATACTATTTATTTTATCTAATATATCAATATTACTATTTTTTAATTATTTTACTTAAAAGTTTTTTTGAAAATAAATTAATTCTTATTATTTAAAATGCACTATTATAAGTAAAATATAAAAAGAAGTTAAAAATTGTTTTAAATTCTAAAGAATATTTAAATTTGGTAATTTTTTTTTGAATAATAAATTTAAGTAGTTCATCTTGTAAGTTAGATGATAAAATTTAAATAAACACAACTTTTACTTTGTTATTTCAGTTTTTTTTTTATTTAATTTAATACTTTTATTACAAAAGCATATTTTTTTTTATATACTAAGTCCAATACTATAGTATTAAAAACACTTTTTACAAGCAAAATAAATACCAATAAGATATTGAATTTTATTATTAAAGATTTATTATTTTAGCTAATATAATTGATTAAAATATTTAGTAATTTATTAAGAATATATATTTTCAGATTAATACCGTATAGCACTGCCTAAAAGACTCTCCTATTCACGTACCTCACTATAATATACCCGGGTATGATATATGGTTAAAAAATCTTAATTTTAGTAAGAATTTGGCTAATTCTGGCCAATTTTTCTATATTCCATACAAGATATTCCAGGTATAATTCAATTTTTAAATTGGTGAAATTGATATATACCTGGGGTATTTTAGGCAGTGCTATATGGTAGTGCTCTGAAAAAAATCCGATCTGTCAGATTCAGATCAAATCAAATAAATTTAATCTGCAGTTCAGATTCAGATCAAAAAAATTTGATCTGAACAAATCAGATTAGCTTCAGATCAAATCAGATCAGATCAGATCAGATCAGATCAGATTTAATTAGTTTTGAATCAGATCAAATCAGATCAGATCAGATTTAATTAGTTTTGAATCAGATCAAATCAGATTTGAATCTGATTAAATCTGATCTGATTCAGATTAAATTTAAATCGATCTGATTCAGAAGGATCTCACTTACTATTAAGATAGGTCATCCTGTGGCCTAAGGTAAAGTTTACATATAAAACTCTTTAAAGATTCTACTATAAAAGGAAATTTTATGTTACATTGTTATGATTTTTTTCCTTTTTAGTCAATTAACCAATAGAATTTAAGTAAATCCTAAGGTAAGGTTTCATATGAAAGTAAAATTTTTACCAGTAACATATCTTAGTAGTAGGTGGGATCCTGATTCAGATCAGATCAGATCAGATTAGATCAGATTTAATTAATTTCAGATCAGATTGAATTTAAGTAAAATCTGATCTAATATGATCTGTTAGGAACACTACTATACGGTATATTAATCATCATTTTAGTAATCATAATGGTAATCAAAATTTCATACATGCATGATTGTATTACATTATTTTGAAAATAGCAATAATGAATATATTAATTATATAAAATTTTTGCAATAAAGAAGGATAAAACTACCAGAAAAAATCAAATTTATATTTATATATCAAATATTATTTTTAAGCTTAAATAAATCCAGATTTGGCATTATACATATTGTTCAAATTATTTTAGGCTGCTATAATTATAAGTAAAATTCCAAATTCAATTATAACATCCCAAATTATTTTGGCACTTTACATAATAAATTACATATAAATTGAATAAATTACAGCATCCCAAATTATAATTATAGCATTCCAATATTTGGCATTAATTTATTTTTTTTTATTCTTTTTAGTAATTTCATTCTTTTTTATACAAAGATCTCATATATTATTATAAAAATAAAATAAGTATTCATATAAATAATGATATTAGTAAAATCATAGTAATTAGCAATAAATACAAAATATCAATATAAAGAAAGGTTTTATATTATAAAAGGATTAATTCTAACTGGTAAATTTATTTATTTTCATTAAAATAAGTAGACTATAAGTAGTTGTAATTTATTATTATTTAATTATATATTACAAGAATTGATTTAACAAAAATATAAAAATTGAAAAATAAATGATATAAATTTATTTTGTATAATTTTTTTAAAAGTAAAAGCTACAAATAAAGAAAATTATTAGTAAATAGTAATGAGATACAATTTAATTTAGGTATTTGTTATAAAGAAAGAAAAAGTACATTTTATTGATAATAATAGTTTTAAAATCCATATTTTTTTTTCAAATTTTTGTATAGTTATATTTAAAATTTTAATTATAGTTATATCATATGATTATAGTATTAATAAGTTTGTTAATATTTTTACTTATATAATAAATAGAATTAAAATAAAATTTTATTACTATTACTAAATTATATTAAAAAAGAAAAATTCAATTTTGTACTAATTTGAATTGTAATTTTTAATTTTGCTTATTTATATTATATAATCAATAAAAGTTACATATTGATCATATTGACCGATTTTATTATAAATATAATGATAGTTTTATAAAAAATGGAACTACAAATTACTAATGATTTAAATGAAAAATAAGCTCAGGTATTATATAAAATTTGATTAAATCTTCCTATTGCAAAGTAACAGGTTACAACTAGTATATTTATAAAGATTTCTATTATATAGTTAAATAAAAAAAATTGCAATATTACAACTATTATAATGCTAATATAAATCTTTATTATTGGCAATTTTATATTTTATATTTATATTAACTTTATATTAAGTTAAAAATTTCATTTTTAGCAAAATAAAAAAAAACACATATTAAAATAAATAATGGTTATCTACAATGACCTTAAGTCAGAAAGCAATAAATGAAAATATATTACAACAATAAAATTTTCAGGGTAGGGTATTTTGTTTTGTTTATTATGAGCAAATTCGGAAATGTTACAGGACATTTTACAGGTCATTACTATAAAAGGTGCTCATAAATCCACTAAAATACCCTACCCTTAAGAAAACCAAACTTAAAATACCTACGCGAAACCAATTAATTATATTATTGGTTATCAGAAATAGGTAATATGTATCTAAATGATATTCTCATATTCTTAAACACTATCAATGTCATTATATTTGCTGATGGTTTTGTTATTGTTTCAACAAGCGAAATATTGAAATGATTAAATTGTTCAAAAAATGAATTTGTCATGTCTAATATGATTACAAATGGATATCAGAATATCAAATTCTAATATGTATCCAAGTCCCTGCAAAATAAAAACTACTCTCTTAAAGAAACGGAACTTCCATATGTTCTAATATTCTAGGAGAGTCTCCTTTCAATAAAGATCGTCTACACGTTGGACAAGAACTATGGTGTTCCAGCCAAGATCGCAAACAAGTCCTTTTTTCATATTAAATAATCTAATTAGCAAATTTTTTGTAAAAATATAAATAGACAAATCAACGTACAAATGAAACATGTGACCACATGGTAATTTTTTAGCTTTATCCATAGAGTCTCGACATATTGCACAGTCATCATTATATTCCTTCAACTCAATATCAGTGGCATTTGGGTATCTATAAAAAAATAGAAATATATCTAAATTCTCATTGAACGAATACTAAAGCCAAAATATTCAATATCTTACTGTGTTTGCATATTGGATATAGCTTGTCTGTAATTGCAGTATGCAACAATTTTTTTCCTGAGATTGTTGAAGACGCTCCTCATATTTAAGAACAAAACTGCATCAATTAAGGTAAATGAAATACCATGAAGAAGCTAACGAAACCAGAGAAAAAAAAAGGGTTAAACGTTGTTAATTTATCTAAATAAAAACAGAGAATCTTTCTCACCATGATATGTAAATAATGACCAAGAGTGGCAACAAGTATCAAAGTATCGGTAACAAATTCGGTATAATATAAAAGAATTCCTCTAGATTCCCAGACACTTTGTCTTGTTATATCTCTAAGATGAATTAAATATTTAATCAATGTTTGTACAGTATCCAAAAATAACGTAAAACACTATTTTACAAAGAGGTGAAATGAATATGTCAAATTAGATTACACTTCTTATCGTCCAATCAGAAACCTGCTTTTACAAAAATTGACACTAACCTCAAATGTCAGAAGTAACAGCATTGACCGAAATATTGATATACACATTATAAACCAGAAGATGTCAGATAATAAAATAAGTATTAAAAGGACTAATATTCGTAAATGAGCCTGAACTGGAGTATTTGGAGAAAATGTAAGCTAAAGAGGAATTAAATTTTTTAGTAATGATAGCTTTAAAAAAAGCAAGGCGAATTTATAGGAATCTTTGAAATTAAAGAAGATTAAGTCTTACATATTCAAATCTGTCTCGACAAAGCATACTAAAAATTCTCAAAAATCCGAGAATTGTAAACCAAGATGTCCAAATAAGTAATTCTTCCCATTTTGGCTCCAAAATTGCTCCAACAAAGACTACTTTAAATAAAAGAAAGTTAAGTAGCCTATCATACATATGCTAAATTATACAATAAATATCAATTAATAAAATATAATAGTTATGTAAAAGAATAAAATTTTATTCATAAATACCTGACTTTCGATAACTCTTAACTCCCCAAAAAAGAACTTCAGTGTGAATCTTCCGAGGAGAAATAAAAAACAATAAGCCATATTGATGAAAACCTATAAACATGAATAATTTACAATTCATGATGGGATTGACATCAATACTAAAGAATTTGCATTCAAAACAACATATTGAATGCTATTTTTAAAGAAACGATGAAATCAAATTTGAATATAAAACACATACCATAATACAAATTTTTTCTTTTTGCAAAAAATTCACGAGAGAAGTTAGAAAAGGTCCCATTACGGGTTTTCTTGGCGTTAAAATCCTTTCCGATAACATACTCTGAAATATTGAAGAAGTAGCGCCAAGACCTTTTTCAGAATTACTCCAAATTTTATCAACTCCATTAAGCGGTGGTTGGTATTCAACAGACTCACTGTGAGTAACTTGATTTGGCGAATTTTCAACTGGTGGTGGGAACCATTTTTGAGGGGTGAAGATATTACAAGAATAAACAAAAGCCACAAGGGCGACACATATAGAGATGGTGGTATATAGTTTCAAATCAAGAACGGGCATTATAACAATTTATAGCATTGGCAAATTTCAAGACCAGTATCCAAAACAAAAGTTATTTTTGTTCAACCTACGAGAAGGAAGATCAAAAACTTAGACTGAAATTGAAAGACAGCAAACGAGTAAGTAATTTCAAAAATCCAAATCTCACGTAATATTATATGATTAAACCCGGTAATCTGGTAACAAGGTTACGCTTAAATTAATAATTTGAAATTGCGTGAGAATATATGATTTTCGTTTGATTTTACGCATGATCCCCCGTTTAAGCTGGGGTGCTTGCGTCTAAAGTTTGACTAAAAAAAATATCGTATGATGAATCCATTTAAACCATTAGCAAGCGTCTGAACTGCTTAATTTAATAATCTAATTTGTATTTTTGCAAGATATTTATTTCATAGTGTAAAACCGTAAAAACGCAGAGTCCCAAAAAAAACCAAGCACGTGATCAATTTGCAGTTCATTTCCAAAAATAGATAATAATCCGTTAAAGAGAGAATTTTCAAATAAAACAAATAAAACAAATAAACTTACGGATTTCTACTTTAAAGAGAAAATTCTTACTAAAGTCAACTTTGATATACAGTGGTATCTCTATGTAATCACACAGTCGGACACATAGTGACTTTTAAAGCAGAATGTACTCATCAAAAGAGAGAGCGGAGTAGTTTTGACCGGCATTACGAAAAAATTGTCCCCCAGAAAGTCCAGAACACTGGGGTGTGACATATTTTGCTAAGTCACGTGATACTACTCCGCTTTAGATTATTACCGTATTCACCTAAGTAAAGTGGTCCTCGGGCGACTTAGTTGTTCAGTCACTTATAGTACTACCGTTTGGTACTTGTATAAAGCTTCTTTGTAGTCATTACTGACACTGTTTTTACTCTGAGATATAAAAATAAAAAAAAAGAGTTGACTGTATCGTGATTATAGAGAGGGAATTTTCTTATAATTCAAAATCTCAAATGTGTTATCTATTTATTCTGTTATATATATGATGTGGGGTGACTATACGGAGGTACGACCGTATAAATCAAAAAATGGCATTAAAAACCTTCCTTTTAATCATAAGCAAACTTGTAGAGAAAGAATGCATTTGGATTATGATTTTCCAAATCTGAATAATATGTTAAGCATTAATCCATGCAAACTTAATTTTTTGGTTCTCTTAACATAGCAATTTTGAAAATGACCCGGCAACCCGGCTTTTAATTTTTTTTCAAAAAATTATATATATAAAAATTCATACGAAAATTTTAACTTTTAAAATATCTTACCCGATATAATAATTATATGTATAAAAATTTTTTTTTTTGAGATCTAACAAAAACTGACCCGGCCTGGATATGAGAATGGCCTTATTTCAAAAAATTTTCGACAATTAATCTGACCATTTTAGATATGATCGGCAAATGATCACGTGACAGTGACTTTGGTGGGAAAGGACATGATGATCTTAATATTGATCAAAGACAAACTATTCTTTGCTTCTCTAAATTAGAATATCAAATATTATGGGACATCTCATAACTGTTGCAACCTGTTCTCTTAATCAATGGGCTTTAGATTTTGAGGGCAACTTGGAGCGTATTTTAGAGAGTATTCGTATTGCTAAAGAACAAGGTGCTACACTTCGCGTTGGACCGGAACTTGAAATAACGTAATAATAAAGTTGATAATTTATCAATCTATGTATTCGAATCATGGAGCTAAGTTGCATTAACCATTTTTTCAGCGGTTATGGATGTTTGGATCATTTTTTAGAAGGTAAATATTGTTGATATGTTCTACCATATCTATTAATGAACTAATTTCGGATAAGTTAATGGTTACTTTAGGAGATACTTATTTGCATTCATGGGAAATGATGGGCAAAATATTGCAATTCGATGAAGCGAAAAATATATTACTTGATATTGGAATGTAAGCTTTACTGCGCCATTAGTTATCAGATTTCATATATAATAAATATAATCTCTCATCTCTTATATTAATTAAGGCCCGTCGTTCATAAAAATGTCAAATATAATTGTCGCGTCATCATTCTTAATGGCAAGATTTTATTAATCCGTCCAAAGTTGTTTCTTGCCAACGACGGCAATTATCGCGAGCTAAGATATTTTTCTGCTTGGTCACCGGCAAGATACGTTGAAGAATACCGACTCCCACGTATCATAAGGGAAATTACGGGCCAAGTAAGTTATTTTAAATTAAAAGATGCCCTTTTTTTCTTATGGTATTTTATTTGCGCTTTTTTTTGAAAGTCTATAGTTCCTATTGGTGACGCGGTGATTTCTACAATTGACACGTGTGTTGGTATAGAATTATGCGAAGAATTATTTACGCCAAATAGGTTAGGTGAAGATGATAAATATATAATTAAAAAAACATTTATTTCCTCAACTTAGCTCCCAATCTTTAAATTATAGTCCAAATATAAGCATGGGATTGGATGGCGTTGAAATCATTACTAACAGTAGCGGTAGTCATCATGAACTTCGAAAACTTTATCGACGCGTAGATTTAATTAAAGAAGCAACTTTGAAGGTATTCCTACATTTAAACGTATTGCTATTTTTACATTTCATAAAAATCTTTAATCGATCTATGATAGAACGGTGGAGTCTATCTCTACGCTAATCAACAAGGGTGTGATGGCGATAGATTATATTATGATGGCTGTACCTTAATTGCAGTCAATGGTCAAATCGTTGCTCAAGGTTCCCAATTTTCTTTAAAGGATGTGGTACGTTATAGTTCCTCTAGTTTGTTCACGAAAAAATAGATTCAATCTTCACAAACTCAAACTTTAGGAGGTGATTACGGCAACTATTGACATAGAAGATGTACGCTCACATCGTAGTATAAGCAGCAGAGGAATGCAAGCCACAAATACTCCTCGGTATCAGCGCATTGAAGCTCCTATAGCTTTGTCACAATCGGTGTTAAATAATAATATACGCATTCATTTAACTAAACCTATCGAAGAATTTTATCATACACCCGAACAAGAAATTGCGTAAGCTGCTTTTACCTAAACGATGGTTACTTTTAATAAGAATTATTAACATATTAATTTTATTAGATTGGGTCCAGCATGTTGGCTTTGGGATTATCTTCGTAGATCAAAAATGAATGGATATTTATTGCCTCTTAGTGGGGGGATTGATAGTTGCGCTACGGCAATTATAGTATACTCAATGTGTCGTCTTGTTGTAGAAGCCGCAAAAAATGGAGGTATTGTACTTAATAACGTTAATTGTATTTATTTATATTCATCTATTACATCTATTAAATGTAAGATTTTTTTTAATAGATACTAGAGTTATTATTGATGCGAGAAGAATTGCAGGAGTGAGCAAGGATTCAGATTACATTCCTAAAGATCCACGAGAATTCGCAAAGTAATCAAATTTATTACAACCATTTTGTTTATAAATTCTTAGTATTGAATTGACGTTATTATATCCTTTAGTCGGTTATTTCACACTTGCTATATGGGGACTGAGAATTCAAGTAAAGAGACGCGAGAACGTGCTAAGAATTTAGCAAGTGCTATAGGAAGGTTCGAAATTGTTCAACTACTAGTATTCGCATTTTATTTAATTTACATCACTTAAACAAATCCTAATTTTATAGTTATCACATTGATTTGAATATGAATGATATAGTAACTTCAATTCAAACATTATTCAATTTGGTCACAAACAAGACACCTCGATTTCGAGTCCATGGTGGTTCAAATATTGAGAATCTTGCACTTCAAAATATTCAGGTATAAATCATATATTATTTATTTATTGCGCGTCAAAAGTTAATGAAATTTTTGCTTTAAGGCAAGATTAAGGATGATACTTGCGTATCTTTTTGCGCAACTTATGCCATGGGTTAGAAATCAAAATGGTTCGCTGCTTGTTCTTGGCAGCGCAAATGTAGATGAATGGTAAAAGAATTAATGGTAATATTGATATTTAACATGTTTTCTAATTTATTTTTTAACTAATTAGTCTTCGAGGTTATCTAACCAAATATGATTGTTCGAGTGCTGATATTAATCCCATTGGAGGTATTAGCAAAAAAGACTTACGTAAATTTATTGCTTATGCAAGAGATGAATTTAACATTCCACTTCTAAATGAGTAGGTTTATTTAATTTAAGAATGGATTTGAAACATGTATTTACTTTATTTATTTATGAAAAAGATTCCTTAACGCAATTCCAACAGCCGAACTTGAGCCCATAACTCATGATTATGTTCAAGCTGACGAGGTTTGCATTCACAAAGTTGTGAACGTAAAAATAATTAAATATTTAATACACGTGATTTCCTTATATAGGTTGATATGGAAATGACATATGATGAATTATCAATATTTGGGAAATTAAGAAAAATAGAAAAATGTGGCCCATTTTCAATGTTCTCAAAACTTATACATGAATGGGGATCAGAATTAAGACCAATTCAGGTGTTTATATTTTGTTTTAATGAACTTTTTATTTTCTGGTCTATTTATTTTTTTATTTTTTAATTTTTAATAAAATATAATATAGATTGCAGAGAAAGTCAAAAGATTCTTTTTTTATCATTCAATAAATCGGCATAAAATGACTACGCTGACACCATCATATCATGCTGAAGCTTATAGTCCTGATGATAATAGATTTGACTTAAGACCATTTTTGTATAATACTGCTTGGAATTGGCAATTTAAAAAAATTGATTCTTTTGCTAATGAATTAGAGAAAGTAAATAAATAAATTAAATATGAAAAGTTATTCTGAACCTTTATTTACAGTTACATACATATGTGTTTTTGACAACATTTGTGAATTTAAAATTTTCACTTAGTAAATCTAAAATTATCCGTCAATAATAGTCAAATTCTGTTAAACTGGGCAATCAAATTAGTTCTAATTCTTTTATTTGAATATCCGGCTTTAATCCTTATATATTAGGAATTTTTCTATCATCTATAATATTTTAATAAATTTATGTTAAATTATTATACTTCAAATTAATATTAAAAAAAAATATCAATTAAGGAGTGCTTTAAAAATTTATTATGAAAAGCATTTCTGTATTGTAGGCAACAATAAAAAGCGCCTGCGCAATAAAAATACTAATGATGTTATATTAGGTTTAACACTGATCTACTTGACTAAGTAAAGTGTGTATGACGGCACTATAAAATTAATACTAATAAAGAAAAATTAAAAAATCAAATAAGTTCCCATCCAAAATAAAATATAAAATAAAAAATATATATAAAATTGCCCGACACATTTTTCTTTTTTCTTTTGCAATATGAACATATTAGCATTAAAAACGCGTGGGAAATTATACAATATTAAAAGAATTGTGAAAGCCTTGGCAAAGCCTTTCTTTTTTTTTGTCATTACATTTAAATTTTAAAGAATTGTCTCTGTGAAATGTGCGACACAATGAACTATTTGTCCAATTGATATCAAGCGACATAAAATAATTTGAAACAATTTGTCACTTCAATACGACATCATCTTTAGTTCTATAATTGTCGCAAGCAATGAAGTATAAGCAAAAAAAAGAGAAGTAAAATACACGAAACTAATCCAGCGTTTCTAACTAAACAAGCCAGACCCATTATCCTCATCCCATACATACAATACATTCACAATCAAACATCTAATGTGAAAGAGATTGAAAAAAAAAATTTTTTGTTCTATCATTGAACTAAATAAAATTAAGGGTTTTTTGTTGGGTTGCCTGAAGCATCTGGTGGGCCATTAAGAACCTCTTCCAAGCTACGATGCCTAGATAATTCAGACAACACAGATTCATCAACAGGTATAATTGATTTTCGACGGAATAAATTAAAACCATCTGGTCGATCATCAAAACGTTGCTGAAGGAAGCAAAAAAAAAAAAAAATATATATATATATATATATATAAATATGTATATATTTTAATTATATATTTTCGATGTTATGAATTATTTTAAAGTAATAACGAACCAATTCTCCATGTTCATCTTGCTCTACTTCCTGATGTTCATCTTCGCCTGACTCTTCACCACTTGATGGATTCTCTAATTCGGTGTCAAAAGTTTGGATGGCTAAAATTTACAAGATTAATTTAGAAAGTATTTGTAGTTATAAAAAATTCTTAATACGTTTTATTATTTTCTTACTTGACACGTCAGTTCTTGAAGACGTCAAAGGTCCGCCAATGGTATAAGGAAGCGGAAGTCCTTGAGCATTGTGTGCAGCGGTTCTTTCCAATCTGTGCCACGTTTCCTCTCGTTCCCGCATCTTTTTCTTTTCCCTATAAATATTAAATATTCTATTAGATCACATTTAACGCATGTTAGTAAAATTATTCTTGTGAATTACACTTACAATTGACGACTCTGTTTATATTGAGCCGTACACTGATCGAATAATGCTGGATTGATTTCCATAAACAATTTTAAAGCGTTATATACTAAGCCATGAATTGTACTTAATAAATCATACGAAAAGTTAATTAAGTGTCCGCAAACGAAATAATGATTAAAGACTGGAGAATATTATTTAGTTACCGGTTCCAATGAGCTTTTGAATTTTGATATAAAGAAGGAAACATAACCGGCAAAATAACGGTTACATTATCGCCTATCAGATTGACGATGTATTCGTTGTTCCAATAATACAATGCCCTTTCCGCTACCTTTATTTACAATTATAATGTTATTAATAATAAATGATAATTATAATTGACTATAATAATATACCTGAAAGTGTGGACTTGATACACATCGAGCGATTTGCTGAAACAATGGAACCTGAATTTTTACAAATTCCTGTGGTTCTATTACGTCCAAAATTTCCTCGATTTCATTTAAAAACATAACTTCTTTGGGACTATTCACTTTTGGCCAGTATCTCAACAAACCACAGATAACCTGAAACAATTGAACACGAAATATATAACTAATTTAAAATAAATATCTATATAAAACTAAACAACAATATTTAAAAATAATAATATAACAATAACAACAATAAAAACATATTCTTACTTCTTCTGTTAGTGATGGATCTTTCTCCAGAAATTGTACCACACAATATGCTAATTGAGGGTGATACAACGTTAAAGACTTTACTTTATGCAAAGGTATCAAGACTTTTGTGAGAAATGTTTTGTGTTCTTCTTTCAATGGTAATGCAAAACCATTGATAATACTAAAATAATCAAAATTTTAATTTATTCTCAATTCATCTAAATTAACAAAAAAACGAATCGTCAACATTAACTTTTACCTTCCAAGAATTTCCAATAATTCAGCAATACCGTTATGACGTTCTGTTTCATATATGAACTGGAAGAACACATTATTAATAGACCTTCGGATAAATGCGCGCAAATTTAAGAATTTTCCATAAATACGATGCAATGTTGTTTTCAAAAAATCTCTTTCTCTTGGGTCTTCGCTATCAAATAATTCCAACAACTATAGCCATAAAACAAATAAGGTATAAAGATTAATTAAATGCGAAATACATAATCAGTAATCGAAAAAAAATTTTACGAACTTGCAATATAAATTGTGGATCGATATATTTTTTGGCAATATTCGTGTTGAAATCGGGTGATTCAATAAATCGAAGAAAAAATTCGTAAACAATTTGAAGATGAGGCCACGCAAGTTCGAGTACGGGTTCATCCTCTTCGGGATCGAAAGCGTCACCTATAGGATTTACTTGTGGAGGTATGGTTCTAAAAAGATTGATAGCAAACTAGCCAATCATGTATATGTTCGATTATTATCTAATAAATCAAAATATAGAATTCATATTCTGATTTTATATATATATTTATTTATTTATATAGAAAATTTATTACCAACCATCGAAACGACTTCAGGATATATTGGCTCAGTGATAACTCCTCGATTTGTGGTAATATATTCTAAAAGTTCAGCCAGTGTTGACCTCTTAATCTCTTTTCCTTTGAGGTCAGCGCTTGCATCATTAAAATCGAAAATTACAGCACATTGACTGAGTTTTCTGAGAAAAAGGTCTTGTCTTTTGTCCGATGGGACCTCTGATAATTCCATTGATAAGAGGTTACTATTAAATTCAATTATTTAAGATCTAATATATGGTGATAGCTCAAACTAACCATTAAAATTCGGTAATTTTTCCAATTCAACTTTCTCTGTTACATGGAACCTTGAAGATCTTTGGCGGCGTGGTGCTTTGCTTATAGGGATAACGTCTTTTGGTGTTCCCTTCAAACGATTTAAAGGATCCCTTTTAGGAGGTTCTTCTTTTGAATGAGATTTGTGCGGATTGCTTGCAGGTGATAAAGGTGCCGAATTTTCTGGAGGTGTAGCATGTCCTCTCTGAAACAAGAATATAAGTTTGATTAATTAGTTTGGAAATTATAATTTCAAGTCCGACAAAGTTTCAGATGCATTATAGCAACCTTTTTCATATTTTCGTAGAAACTTTGTGAAACCTGAAAGTTTTACGAACCTGTTCACCGGCGTTCACAACTACGATCGTTGGGGCACTTGAACTATCACTTGTGGCTGCAGCGGTCTTTCCTGAAGACTTTGAAGCGCCTCCAGTTTTTCCATTACTACTGCCATTATTACTACTACTTGAGTCTCCCGATTTCCGTAGCTACAAAACAGATGTTATAACAAAATCATTGTAAGGATATAAAGAAATCAGAAGAAAAAATGACGACTTAGCAATAATGGATTACAACTTTTCTTTTAAACATTCTAAGTACGGCAGAATAATCTTGACTGAAAAAAAATCTTTAAAGCAGTCTTAAATTTTTGAGGACAAAATTTTTAGATTTTATGAACGATGATAGCATGTATTACGACACTAATTTTTTTAGTTATAATGTTGTAATATATTCTTGTTGTACCAAAGTTGAATACGGCAACCGAAAGATGCATGCAACAACAACATGCGCAGTTATTTTTTTTTATACTTCGCAATTGTCCCTTTCACTCATAAATAAATATTCTACCTTTCAACTTAGTGATTATGAATAGATCATATGATGATATTTAAGTGATATCGCCGATTAATTTGCACATGAGAGTGGGTCTTTGAAGTTATATAATTAACAAATAAACCCGCGATATTATTACAGAAAATCTATACTTGAAAAAGAATTGATTATTTGGTCTCAGGACACGGATGAACCCATCCTTTCCTTATTTACGCTGGTGCCGCAAAAAATTGGGGCGAAAAGTCTCCGTTTTTAATCAAATTTATGTTTCATCGTCAAATTTCAATGACCGCGTTTATTGCTGAAGTTTTTTCTCTTTTAAAATTAGATCGGCCGCGTGTCATTTCTGCGCGTCATCTACTTCAGCTAATTCATAACGATCGATCAAAAATGATGAGGATACTTTTGTAACAAACTGGACTCTTTTTCTGGATCATAATTTTGAAAATAAAAATTAACATCAATTACAACAAGGCCATTAAACTTTGGTGCACCCAATTCTCTACAACAGGAAAACAAAGAATAAATCTTCCGTCATGATTTTTTTTTTTCGTTTCATGTAAATTCGTTTCAGTTGTTTTACTTTAAAAGTTTAATGCTTTATAAAATTTGACTTTATAAACAAACAAACCATCTTTAATGAAAATTGCTGCGTCTTCAATCTGCCGATTATATAAATATTACAATAGAATGATGTTTACGGAGATTATAATTGAGTTTCATTCAGAAAAAACTAGATTAATGAGGAACGATTCATTAAATAAGCTAAAAATCACTTGAAATTGTATTACACAACCGAGGTTATAGAACAAATACTCAAATTTCCAATAGCAAAAAGTTCTTTAACAATTAAATATTATTCCAATCACCAATCAGTAGTAACAGTGAAATTGAAATAAAGTAAATAAATAAAATAATGGTCAGGATGGTAAGATCCGATTGGAATAGTATGGTATTATTTATTTTATTATATAAAATATATTTAAGTCTGTACTATGTAATTATATTAACTAAAAATATTCATAATTTATAATTAATCCTAATTACCTAATTTAATACATAATAATTTAAATCCTAATAAATCAAAAAAAGTTTTTAAAATTTAATATATAGTTTTGATTTTTAAAATTTTTATACTGTAAATAAAAAGGCTATATATTTGAAAAGTATTATTTCATTTGAAAGTTTTTAAAAATAAGTTTATTATTTTAAAATTTAATATATTAATTTAAATGTATAATATTTATATATAAATATTTTAATTATAATATTAATAAGCTTTTAAAACTATATACAATTTCAACAAAAATTATATAATAGGCTTATACAAAATTGGATTCTTCAGAATCCAATTCTATCAAATCAGGTAATTTTAATATATTTTTAAATTATATGTACTGCTAAATAATATATTAAAATAAAAAAATTCTTCAGTTTTTAATTAAATAAATTGTTTTATTTATTTATTTTTTTAAAAAGAAACTTTTTATTTTAATCTGAAATTTATTTATTTTTTTTAGAGAATAATTATATTTAGCTGAAAAGAAAAGAAATTAAACTGAAATTAGCCAGTGAGTAGAATTATATAATTTCTAATCAACTTTTTTTTAAAATTATTACATTTAATTATTTTTTAAACTAGAATTTTGCTTATTTTTTTTTTTATTAAATAATTAAATTTTTTTATTTTTTTAAATTAATTAGTTTTTTTAAATTAAATAACTTACTTTTTATTTTAAACTATTTTATTTTATTTTTTAAAAAAAAATTTATTTCTCATTCAAGTGATTTCTTACTTCTCTTTTCAAATTTAATATATAAAAATAATGTCATTTTGATTATTTGCCAATTATTTTCAAAAAGGAATAATATAATTTTGATGAAAAAATTTTTTTTAAAAAATAAAACTTAATATGAACTTTATATAACCTTTAAAATTACAATTTATAGGTAATTTTGCCTACTCTACAAATTTACTTAATATCTTAAAAAAGGTTATAAATATCATTTTTGGCATTTTTAATATTATGACTTAAAGATATAAAGAAATATCAAATTTTATCCAAAGTGAGAAATAAATTCATTTTTATTTTAAAAATAATAATAACTATTTTTTTTTAATTAACTTAATTTAATTTAAACCAAAATTTATTATAATTTTAATAGTTTATTTAACTAAAAATTATTATAGTTTAATTTATATTAAATAAAATTTTCATTTTACTTTTTATTAAAATTCTATTGGTTAATTAGTTTAAAAAGAAAAACATTATAATAATATAATATGATGTTTTATATATATATATATATTTAAATTATTAAGTATATAGAATAAGAGTATATATTTTTTTTCGCACCTGTGATATGTTGCATCTCCCTTTTTTGGTAAATTTGTATATTAATTATGTCAATTATTTTTATCATATGACTTCATTAAGATTTCTTAAAAAATTCTAATATAAGACCTTATGCATTTACTATATACTATAAAAAACCTTATACTATGCATATTTTTGATTATTTTACAAGTTTTAAAAAAAATTTAGAATGTTATTTTTAATTTTTATATGTAATATATTATAAGGTGCAACATAATACAGATGTGATAAAAAATAAAACCTTTAAAGAATAAATGTATTTGTAACAACTTTTACATATTTTATTTATAACATCTTTTTTTTATTTTTTTTAATAATAAATTTAGTATACACTTTACAAATAAAATTTTATATGCAAAATTTAATTTGGAAAACTTTTACTTAATATACTTAAAATAATTTCATAAATAAAATTTTAGTTTTTTGAAATTTTTTAAAAAAATTCTTTTATTTTAGTTAAATAACTGATTTTTATTTTTGTTTACACTTTACATTATACCTGATCTTAAATTTTATTGGATAAAATTGGAGTTGTTACAAATATAACATGTAACAAGTTATTACAATTAGATTTATCCAAATATTAATACTATAATTATTATTTTATTAAAATTAAAGTAAAATTTTAAGTAAAATTATAGAATGGTATGAAATTTTATTTATTAATAAATTTAATAATAAATATTTAATTAATTTATTTTATAAAAAGAAGTATTAATTTTTATTAAAGGTTTAAAATTTAAATATATTTGTATTTGAACGTACTTTATGATATAAATTAAAAATAAAGTTTTAATATTTTTTACCATAGTAAATAAAGTTGTAGAAGAGGCAAAAATACACATATAATGTGAGTTTATTTAAGTATATAAGGTATAAATTGCATTTATTCAAAAAAATCAATATCATATAATAAAATAATTAGCATTTTTATTATATAAAATTTCCAAAAAAAGGGAGTATATTCAAAATACAATTGTATTTAAATTTTAATTCTTTTTATTAAAAATATTAATTTTATATAGATGTAAAACTATTTTAGAAAAAAAAACATTTTATTTGATTTGCAAATATGTTTAATAAAATTTTTTATATAAATTTTACTTTATAATTTTAACAATTTTTATTATAAGTAAATAAGATTTTTATTAAATTAAGTTATAAAAATTTTTGTACTTTAGTTTAATTTAATTTAAAAATTAAATTTTAATTTGTAAAATTTTAAATAAAAGTAAATATAATAATTGTCCAGAGTAAAGTGAAAAATAATATATATTTATATATTATAAAAAAAAATTAATCATATAAATTTTTCTATCTGCCACATTTTTACTTTGGACTTATAATAGTTTCTGTTTTCTAGTTTAATATATCTTATTATATTAAATTATAAAATAAATAAAAATTTAAGTTAATAAATTTAATAAATTAAAAATTAACAATTTTAAAAATAAATTTATTATGTAAAATGACTTTATTAAATTATACTACTGATACTCAACATTATAGTAACGTTTTTATGAAAACTATAGCTTAAATTAAAAAAATCACTTTTGTTTAATATATCTGAAAATAATTAAAAAAAATTTACTTAATAGTACTTTTTTTTGAGGTTGTCTAAAGCAGGGGCAAATCACGTGACTTCGAAAAAATTGTTTTCATAAAATAAAACTTTTTACCATATATTCAACCATTCTAAACACACATCCTAAATGCATTTTTGCCTGCTCTGCAAGTTTACTTAGAGCGCAGAGTAGGGGTTTGAATGCTGTTTTTGATTTATTTGACTTTTTCAATTTCGTTATCCATTTTTGGATATGATTGGCAAAGTTTCGTTCATTCATATGTAAAGTAAAAAACAATATTCATAATCCACTTTCTTTCCTTAAGTAAACTTGCAAAGCAGATAAAAATACGCTTATATTATGATTTTAAAGTTTCTATTAATCTTTCTTTATAAAAAATTAATCTAATTAAAATTACACCGAATCACGTGATTTGCCCCCGCTTTAGACGACCTCTTTTTTTTTATATTAGGGGCGTGCCAGAAATCAGCTGATTTTTCTCAATTAGTAGCCTTAATCCCCCACCCATCATCCCTAGCGTTCCCAAGAAAAAAAGCACTTGGCACGTGACTATGTAAAAAATCATCACATCCGTCACACCCCTCAGTGTTTTCATTGTTTATATTTATCTGAGGGACTTAGTTTTTTTTGAGTTGGTAAAAACTTATTTGTCACGCCTTATTTGTCACCGCACTGTTCATGTGACAGTGCATAATTCCGCATAATGCCGGCCACCAAGTGCTTTTTTTCTTGGGAACGCTAGGGTAGTTTCCCCACCCCTACCTGATTGAAATCTGATTGGCTAAAAAAATTATTACTATTAAATATTAAATATTATACATAATAATTAGTATTATATAATTATCTTGGCTTCTAGTGATTCAATAAACAAACTTTTTTTTGTTTTGTAAAGCTAGATTTATAGAACTAAATAAGTGCTATAAATTAAAAAAAAAGTTTATTAAAATTGGATCACTAGAAGTCAAGATAATTGCATTATAATAATTATTATAATGTAAATTATAAATACAAATATCTTGGCTTCTAGTGATTCAATTTGAACAAACTTTTTTTTGTTTTGTAAAGCTAAATTTGTAGAGCTAAATAAGAGCTATAAATTAAAAAAAAAGTTTATTAAAATTGGATCACTAGAAGTCAAGATAATTGCATTATAATAATTATATAAAAATAATTAAATTACTTACATTTATATTTAGATATATAAATGACACATGATATATATAGACCTTGACTCCCCACCCCCTTTCAAATCAGCTGATTTTTGGCATGCCCCTAAGCTGAACCATTAAGCAAATTAACATTCCTAGTTTTATTTATATTACATTAATACATTATAATCTACAAAATTTTAGCAAAATAAACTGACCAGATAATTTTAATTGCCTTCTGTATTAAGACAAATTAAATGAGCTGTATTCCATTCTTTTATAATTACTAAGTGGTAATATATATATATTTTTTTAATTATCCTATTGAAATCAGTAAGTAAAAATTAATTTATGCAATATATAAAACTTTTTATATGGTTATTTCATCCAACTTGCAGTAGTAAGCTATATAATTTAAAACAAAAGAAAAAATAACAAAAAATAAAATGATCAAAACAAACCACTCATAGCTAATCCTAAATACATCTACTTTCTTTAAACAGATCATATTAATTAAAGAAGTTATACTACACCCATCTATAATTGGATCTAAAAGTAAATGGAAATAAGTTTTCAAGACCTATGGCCTGATTTAACACCAATCTTCTTTCACTGTACAGAATAAGAGTAAAGAAAAAACCCAAATTTCCCAAAAATAAAATCAAAAGATATCTATATTCTAATTAATTGGCAATCATAAGATCAGCACTATTTTTATAATTGATTTTGGGGATAAGGTACTTAATAAAATTACTAATAGTCTGAATATACTATGTATGAAAATAATTATAAATTTGAAGAATTGATTTTTTGAGCATATAAGAAAGTACCTTTTATACTTCAAGAAAATCCTTGGAAATTTGTCAAAAATACTTAATTGGTATATGTACATATGCATATACAGTAAAATGAATCAATAATTATATTTTAATATCTATGACTTACCTATATACGCAACTCAGATTCCAAAAATGATAATAAAATTTGCCCCAAAATTTACTAATACGTTTATATAGCGATAGTGCCGATCTTATCCGGGTTGGCAATTAAAACTATTAAGTATTAGTAATTAAACCCGTACCCAGTTCTACATCAAGTTTTAGCTGACTTCTTTTCCTCTGCGGTGCAGCGTCAAAAATTATAGGCTGGTATAATAATTATCCGCTCGATAAATCCATAACTAGTGAAATTGTTGCATCCAAAGAGGGAGACCTCTTCCCAAATTAAGTGTTATTGTAAAAACGTCTCGTTTAATCTGATCCAGAATCGCGGTTTTGATATATGATGACGATCATACATAGGTCATCACCCTTCAGAAATTATTTTTTATTTATTGAAAATAATTGTATTAAAATTACAACTTTATCTCTTGAATATTTAAAGAATGAATTTAAGTACTTTTTATTAATCCGATGCAAATACTTCTCTACAATATAAAATTCCTAACATTGGAGGTCCTAAAAATAATGAGAACCAGAAGAACGCATTGCCAAACCATTTGTTTCCTTTGATTACGGGTAATTTACTTAACCAAATTAAAGGAAGTTGAAACATTTGAAGAAAAAATAAATACATTCGAATTTTTTTAGATACTACAACCATGACAAGTTCATGTATTAAAGATGATAGAAAGAATGTCATAAATGTAGCGTCTCTTTTAGACAATTTGTAGGATTCGATTGAAGATTGATATACATGTCGAAGTAAAAAGTGATGTACAGGTTTGTTCCATTTCCTTGCAAATTCATCCCATGTTGTACTATTCCACCAATCATCATAAAAATTACGATCAGCAAAACTAAAGAATTAAAAAGATTAATAAATAACGTATAGTTTATTCGAACATTTATATTATTATCTTACCAAGTTAATTCTGCAAATACATTGCAAATGCACTCAAAAATAATATAAAATATTAATAAATAATTCATCATGAATGGAAAAAGCATTTGCACCATTGCGTTATAAATTGAAGTTGAAACATTAGGGAGGACAGGAATTATATATGTCTCTGTGTTTACATATAGAAGGAAGAATGTTCCAAAGGTAGCCAAAATCTTTTCAAAAAGATACCAAGGACGAATTCTACATTTTACAAAAATATAAATAATTAACCTAATTTTAAAATATAAATCATTTAAGATTCGCTTACTTTTCTGTTCTTGGATATTCTAGTTCGTATACTAAGGTTGGGACCAATAAGAAATCTACGTAATTTGCAAAAGTTACATTTTCTGGATAACGAATATTTCCTGCTGGACTATGAAGATAACCCTCAACTTGTTCAATTTTGCTTTTTAATTGATCCAAGATTTGTTGCTTTTCATCTTCTTTCTTTTCATCTATTTCGTTATCGTTTTTTTTTGAATCTCCAATTAAATTAGCATATTTTTTCTTCAATTCGTAAAGATAAATAACATAAGTAGACAACTCGCCATTGTAAAAAGAATAAGAATGAAGTTTCATTAACATAGAAATCGTGTGGAGAACAAAGAAACCGCTTTGTACCCATGGCCAGCCTCTATTAAATTAAAAAAATAGGTGAATAATAATTTTTATAAAAAAATTAAATAAATCTAACTTGTCTTACTTAAAAAATGTCCAATAAATAGGAACAAACAAAAAAGTAATTTGAAAAATGTGTTGAATTATCATTCCTGTATATCTCCATCTAATCCAACCATGTGCAATTGCTTTTTGAAGTAAAACTGCGAAAAACATTGATCCGACCATACATGCATCGCTTAAAATCAACCCCAATGCATCTTGTGAAAATAATCGGAAGAATGTTAAATCTAATAAAATTCCTGCTGATTGAAAATTTTTTACACCAGTTTGGATTATATAAAAGCCCATTGCTATCCAGAATAACGTAAAAAATCCTCGAAATGGATACTGATGCGAATCTAAAGTTTCACGATCTAATTGTGAACTACGAGGTTGAAAGGTAACAACACGTTTTGCTATCTTTCTAGGTAATCTATTCAGCTCATCATCATATGTTAATGTAGCGGATAAGGAGGTGGTTGTGGTGGTGATGGTGCTTTTTATGGAAGGGGTATGTTTTTTAACCGAAATTATGTCCTCGGCCTTAAAAATAAAAAATAATTAGAAATAGAATAAAGTAGAAAGAAAATATTTGAACCCTCGGATATTTAGAATAAACCTGAGTATTTTGCAGCATATTTAAAGCAGGTAGAACCAAGTTTATCAAGTTTGAAAAGGTATTTTATTAAAGGATGAAGCAGGAAAAATGCCAACAGGGGGTATTAGTTAATGAAAAGAGTTAGAAATCCAATTGACAAAGATGTTACACTTTTCAAACTTTATTTAAGAATCGGTCAAACAATTTACCGATGTATGAAGATTAACGCATAATTTTTTTTTTCGAAAGAAATCAATTCACAATTCACAGTTAAAACACGGTTTAAAATATTGCAAAAGTTGTACAAAGTAAGCGTTCTCATGTGACTAAATTTTAATTCACATGATGCTTAATTTCAGCTAAACTTTTTGTTAGAAAAGTTCTTTTATTCTTGGTTTTTTAGGACACGTGTATAATTAATTATAAATACAAGTTAAATTTATGATTATTATCCACCTTGGATAATATTTTTGTAAATTAAAAATTAATACTTTTATAGCTGCATACGGATTCATTTATAACCATTGCATCCAAATAACCTTTACGTGATAAAGAATATGATTAAAAAAATACAGTAGAAACGGTTTAGCCTTGTATAAAAAAAATATTACTAACCTCCATTGCGGCCAAATTTTGTGGATTGCTAGCCATTGCGATCAAGTCTAGAAGCGAATTGCTAACGGCCCTCTGATGTATTTGTAAATGCTGTTTTTCATATATACAAAAAATGTTGGTAAATTGAATTTATCAAAAACTATTAGAAGATTTTACATACTTTGTCTAGCAATTTTTCTCGATCTGATTCTAAACAAGCAATAATCTTTGCTTTGTGAACAATCTGTTCCACGTTTAATTTGACTCTGTCTCGAAGTTGTTGTTCGCTGATCATCCTTTGGCACATATAGTGCCAGGTGATCAACTCATCACGAATAAATACTCCAAGATACTGGCCCATATCGAACTGAAAAGTATTAAATAATATTAACATAATTTTAAGAGGATAAAAAACTTACTAAAGGCATACCTCTGGTTCAATTAAACAACGAGCAATGGACATCATGGCTATAAAGATTGTATGTATTAATACACATTTTTTCATTCTTTTCTTAATTACCGTAATTATAATCCTAATATACCTGAAATAAAAACTCCTTCAATTCCAATTGGCGTCATAAAATGTTGAATACTTCGAGTAAATCTGAATGGGACAGCTTCAGCATTGAATAACAAGGGTTGGTGTGGATTGAATGCTAAATTTAACAAAATATTTAAGATTATGAATATTATAAAAGATATGATTACGCATGAAAACAAAATAAATAACATACTTGGAAGTAATTCCGAAGTCCAAATATTTCCTGTATTTCGCGAAATCATGAATTTATGTGGATGCCTTTGGCCGATGCACAATGCGTATGTCATAAATGATACTGCTGCCATTTGATTGGTAAACTGTTTACGTATCGTCCAAAGATCTTCATGCGATTTCATAGTTTTATACATGAACTAAAAAAAAAAATTTTAATAATTATACAAAATTTGAAATAAGTATATAACTCACCTTTGTTAACGTATCATTTGGGATATATTTCGTAGCAATTTGTTCGGCGATCTCGACTCTTAAATTATACAAATCTTTTCTCTAAAATTTTCAAAAAAACTGAATTAAAATAAAATTTGAATCACAAATTAAAGAATGAATAAAAATTAAAAACATTACCACTATAAGATGTGATAAATTATTTCTCATTTTTTTATTATAATATATAATTGGATCATCCTTTGATATACCAGTATTATCGCAATGATCCTCATAAATGTCTTGAAGTGAACAATATGAAGAATCATCTTGGATAATTCTAATTTGAGGGGCTAATGGGATGATTAATGGAAGATGAAAGGAAAGATTGCGCTTGCGACTCTCTTTACGACGTTCTAACACGCTAAAATTTAATCGAATTTTGTTAATTCTAGCTTTCTTAAAATATCGATCGTTTATAATAATTATACCTATTAAGTATTCTAAAAAGTTGTATTATTCGTTCTTCACGACGGCTATGTCTTACTGATGGATGTTGGACAGCGAATGGGTGAAGACTTCCATCATGCCCTCGAATTGTAACCCTTCGGTAACAAAACCCATGAGCTCTAACAACTTCAACGTCTGGCAAAAATCGATCAATTCGTACAAAATCTGCATTGTTATCTTTAAGCTAAAAAAAAAAATTTTATTTATTTGCGTATCGATATGTTAATTAAATTTCAAACTTAATTTAACTCACTAATAAATATTGTCCAGGTATTTCAACTTCCTCAAACTTTTGATGTTGAAACTCAACAAGATAGGTACTGAAATGTTCTAAATGCTGCTTTCGAGGTTTGCTATCCAATACAATTTCAAACCGATCTCTCCATTTACGAAGAGTCTCAACATAAGTTGCCAAGTCTGGCTTCCGGATAATAAAGTCCACTTCAAATGCCGTCTATTCACAAGACAAATTTAAACTAACATTAATATAGATCTCCTTATAGGTGACAAATAAAAAATAAATGTCAATACTTCTTTACCTTAATTGGTCCCGCATACAAATTATCTGCAAAACGTTTGATATTAGCTTCCATTATTGGAGATAATAATCCATTGTCATTGGGATTGTTCAATCTTGTAATTAGTTGCTATGATTAAAATTCAAATGATAAGTATTTGTTTAAGTGAATAAGCAAAAAAAAAAAAAAATGATTTTTTTTATTTTACCTGTACGCCATCATTTAAAAGTGTAACTATCAACCTATAAATATCTTCGTCTGATGACGGTTTAAGGCGTTGCTGAATCTGATCAACCATGGTTTCCATTGAAAGAGCCAACAATGGAAATGACGTTTTCAATATAGACATGATATCTTCTACGTGTTCCCATGGTTGCTTGGGAAGTTGTTGTTGAGCTCCCACTGGATTTATGGATTGTAATGTATGCATAGCTGGATTAATTCCTGGAGTTGGCGTCATTGGTGACCTTCCAGTTTCAACACTCGCCGAAGGTGTTGTAGTTACATGTCCTTGCAAAACAATGTTAGATGTTGTAGGGATATTATTTGTTGGTGTTGAAGTTGATGGAGTACTCGAGATTGTGGCAGGAGACACCCCATTAGAAACTGTATTCATGCCCTGAATATTTTGTATCGATTGTACAGGAACGTTAGGGGATGATGTTGGCATATTCATGCCATTATTGATACCTTGCATTGCTGGGCTTTGTGGTGGTTGAGGAGGTACAGAACTTGATTGATTACCAAAGTTTATTGGATGAGTATTCATCTGAGAAGGACTTCTTTGAGCGGGGCTAGGACTTGCTTGACTTTGAGTTGCCTGCACTTTACGGTGAATATTTCCATTAGATTTAATTAATCCTTCGGCAGCGTTTGTCGTTGACGCAGGTACAGGTGTTGGAGTTGCTGGTGTGTTAACAGTAGAAGGCATATGTCCAGTACGAGCTGCTGCTTGCTGTTGTGCAATAGCAGCCTGCTTTTTAATTAACATGTATTCTTCTCTTGCTGTTCTTAAATGATAATGCAGCGCCTATATATATATATATAATAAGTATTGCATTTTAATAAAGCGAAACATCATTATAAATTGAAAATACCTGTGGATACTGTTTTGCAATCTTCATAAGAATAATACGAGCATGTTTGGCTTCTTTATGCATCAAACAAATAATAAGTTGTGGTATAAACGTTATCCAATACCATACTGGGACGTCACTCTTGCTATTATATATTTCAAACACTCGTGATATGTGGCTCTGAGGGTCCTCAAGAGATAAAAGCCACAAAATACGGATAAGTAACTTTCTTGATTTGGCATTATTATACAAACCCGCAGCTTGTAAATAACAACTCAAAGCATTAGCAGCTAAAGTGGTATCACCAGGCTCCTCTTTAAACTTGCGATCGTTATAGTATCCCCAAGCTGCCCAGGCTTTAGGAAGACGCATTTCAACTTGAACTGCCCGAGAAAAACTATCATTGGCTTCTGCATTTCTACCTAATTTCGCTAATATCATTCCGCGTAAGGTATGAAACTCTGCTTTTTGTTGAGGACCAAAATAATTTAAATTCGTATTATTTATAACATCCAAAGCTGCTGACACTTCCCCTGGATTTTGATAATGACACTTGGTTTGTTCTCTTAATTTTAAGAATGCTTCTTGGATTTCAATATTAGGCAATGAATATATGTGCTGTAAGAAATTTACACATACATCAGATAAATGGTGTTTTCTTGCAACGTGAGCGAAACGATTTATTGTCCATGCAGTTTCATGATGACCACGAAACGGGTAATTTGTTGGGGCCATCGTATTATTGTTAGGCTGTAACTGAAATTGAGCAAACGACTTATTTATGACAGCAAATACATGCCTTCGCCATGCTACAATATCACTCCATATATTAATATCGTCCCACATATTAGGTAATCGTTCTCTCCAACTTTGTAATACAGTTTTTAGCTCACTAGCTTTAGTGTCCGCATTTTGATTATTTATACTGGCTAAAGTTGCAAACATTTTTGTAGCCTCATCAAATTCTACTAATATTTGGAAAGTATGTAATAATGAAATATGGCTATGAGATACCACATTAGGTAATGTATGCCATTTATGTAAAACCGATTGATGAGCTTCGCCAGATAACTTCTTATATTCTTCTAAATTATTGCTATTGAGAGATTTCATTAGAGATATAAATGCTTCAAATACTTTACCACGCGGTGAAGAGGAATCTGACATTAACATATTAGCTTGTTCGGTTAACTCTTTTTCAATTGTCCAATCCGTTAAACGGAAAGAACATTCAATCATTAAATCAGTATTATTCTCGTTCTTTGCGAAGTCAATTAGAATGTCCCATTGTTGTAATTTCTGCGCACAGACTATCCACCGATCTTCCCATAATAAATATTCAGGCTCAGTGCATTGCGAACCTGATGATTTAACTTTATTCTGAGCATTTTCATAAATTACTTGTGCTTGTACCCAATTTCCACTTTGCTCGGACGAAATTGCTGAATTTGTTTCAACATATTTTCCACGTCGCCTCCATAACCCATAATACATGTCATCTTCAGACAAAGAAGAATATAAATCTGCTAGAGCATCCAAGGTACTATCTTTATATTTTTCATCATCTTTATCGCCATCATTCACAGTACGTTGAAGCATTTCCATAGAAATATGCCATGCACCATGAATCTTTCCAAGATATTTTATTAAATGTGGAGGCAATTTAATAACGTGCACACAACGAGATATACCGTCTAATAAGGCTTGTATACAATTTGGTCTCGCATCAGCCTGCAATGAATGATAATCTCTTGATAAGAGAGATACCAAACTATCTGTTAATTCTTGCCTATCTTTATTTGATATAGCAGACCAACATATTGGAAATAGGTCAACCCAAATTTTGTAAGCAACATTATCGTCTAAACGATGAAGTTGTTTTAAAGGTGATAATAAATCGCTAACACGTGATTTTTTCATGTCACGTAAAAATTCTTGACGACTTATAATAAACTCTTTCAATTCCTCACTTATATTCGATTGATGATATGTGATATTAGGAACTCCAACTGTAGTAATTGCTTTTGTTTGTAAACAATGAACTGGTGGCTGAATCTTTTTCTTAGAAGAAATTGATCCGATCAATAAATCTAAAGCTTGATGAATCCAGAAATAATTAACAAGATATTCCCAATTTTGTACAGAGATTATGTAGGTGAGACGCGTTGGTAAGAGTTTAGGCCTGCTATGGTCAAATATATCCATAAACTTATTACGTAATTTAGGATTCCCATAACGCGTTCCCATAAGAAATGCTTGTTCCAATCTTACAGTCAATTCAGATCTAACAAATGAGGGGTTACTATATATTTCAACGACTAGATTTAGATAATCCTCAATTAAAGTCTTGTCTTCTAGAGATTCATAGCATAACATCTTTAGTAGTATTCTACCCTGTTCCTCCATAGTTGGATATGGTTCAACTTTATCAATTACCCATTGTTTTGCCATTTCGAAAATGGAGCGTGAAAGTTCAATGTCTTTTGACTTTTCTATTAAGTGTGAGAGAGATGTAAGAAAGGCTTGTCTTGATTCAGTCAGCTCTGTAATTCGAGAATTCACTAATTGTAACGACATAATTAAGACATTAACAGGTGAATCTGGATTTTGTACATTATTATTCGCAATATTACTTCCACCAGAAGTAGTATTTTGTATTGGATCATTTGTAAGTTTTTGAACAACTTGGATAATTCCAGGTAAGAAATTATCAATATTTTTTGGCATTGAATGGCCGACAGCTTTCAATAACATCATCACGCTATATAAATTATTCAAATTTTGAAGTCCATCTTGAATCGTTGTATGGATCATCTTAATAAAGCTATCAACATCTGTTTCTTGTTTTATTACAGGTTGCGGCTCTGGTGATGATTCAACTGGCTCAGCTGGGAACATACTTGCATATACTTTGTAGATTTTAACTAGAACTGGATGAAGACATTTTTGAATGCGTGAATTATTGCTTTTAATACTACGTTCAAGTAATTCTCTTAAGTTGTCAATGTTTGTGATGCACCAATCAGTCTGTTTCCGATCCAAAATTACATCAATAACGTCCAAACTATTGCAAATACTGTCAAGAGTATTATCTGTAACATCAGCTTTAAGAGTGCGATCAAAAATATTCAACTTCACATTAACTTCTGGCCAGAATTCGGGTTGTAAAAACTCTTTTGTTAAATCAAGAGCTCTTCGAGTTAATCCAATTTTAATGACCGACTCACTAGAAGTACACACAAATCGAACAAGATAATTGACAACGTTCTCCCTCAAACTGAGATTTAAAATGTATCTAGAATTTTGGTCCGATATAACTCCACGCAACTCTCCACCATGTTCTATTAGTTGTCTTTTACGCGGAGAAAACTCTGTTTCGGCTTCAAATCTTCGTTTTTCAGGTGTTGTTGCGACGGGAGTTGAAGCAGCGCTATTAGTGTAATGATCTTGTGAACGATATTCTGATATTCTACGTCTTTCCCATTTCAGAATCAATTCAGAAAGATCTATTGTCAAGAGTCGAGTTTCTGCAGTTGCACTCTGAAGTAATCCTAATCGTGTTAAAGTATTCGCTATTTGGGGCATAAAATGCTCCCGATACTCATAAAATAAATCCGGGTGACGTACAAGCATTTGATAAACATTAACTAATTGGGAAACACTATGACCATCCTCTAAAAGAACTTTCTTAGTATAATGAATCCAAGTAGGAGGTGGTGATTTCTTGTTTTTATCTTTCTTTTCATCGATTGGCGGTGGCGGAATTCTATATCTTGGAACGACCGGCGCAAGAATATCCAATGCTTGCTTTACCAATGTCCTTGCCTCGGGTTGGTGAGCGCGTAACAATGCAGCATAGGATTGGAACGTTATTTTAAAACTTATAGAATCAAATTCAGCACAAATATGAGCTAAAAAAACAAAAGCAGCTTGCTTTGCTGTAATATCATCAACTTTCGACCAATTCCAACCAAATTTTGCAAGATAGCTTCGTGTAGTTATAATATGTGGAACTTTTTGTACAAGAAGAGTTGAAAATTGAAGTACTTCAATCCGTAATGAGTCTTCAATCTCATCATGCGTATCAGCCAAGTAATGCCATAAATTCTGTATTTTATCCATCTGTTTAGTTCCAATGATTTGTTCATATTGTCCTTTGTAAAAGGCATATAAAAGCATAGGAGTAATAATTATTCTTAAAGATTGTTTTTTGATACATTGTGATATGAACGGATCATCAAACGTATCCAAAAATTTATCCAGAATGATTCTTTTCTGTTCCGCAGTATACTTCATTGCAACTTCCTCTTGGTAAAACTTTTTCAAAAATGTGTAATCGATTAAACTACTATGAGAGAAGATTGTAACCAGATCAAATAAAAGGTCGTAATCATCTGGCTTTTCTTTTAAATAACTAATAAAAATCTCAACCAAATATTTAGATTCGCGGGTTTGATCTAAACTTAGAGTATCTTCATTTTTCAATCGCTCTAAACGACCTTGATCATTCCAAGCAAGTTTTAAACAATTCAAAATAGTTTCAGAAGAAGGTTCAATTAACCACTTTGGATGATACTTTACTATTTGACGAATAATCAAAATTCTTTGAAATTTAGCCTCATCTGGACTACTTTGATCTAAATTATTTTGATCTTGAATACTTGAAGTCCTATTTATTAACTTAACGGGATCTTCCATTATGACTTGTCGAAGTTTAGATGCCTCTTCTGCTCCAAGCAAATTAACAAATAATCTACTATATTTTCTGTCACCTATCTTGTCATAAAAATACTCAATTGCCTCCGATGAATATCTATTCAAAAATTTAATAAGAGGCAATCTAAAAGGACTAGATTTTGAGCGACGTAATTGTTCTTCCAAATTTAAAACAATGGGAACCAGATCTCCCAAAAAAATATGAGCGGCTGATGGCAAAAGATGAAATACATTCAAGATAGCAACAATTATCCTAATGGATTCAACCTCTATTAAAGGTTTCCCAGCAGCTTCTTGTAAAACAGTAGGTTCCGCCCATTGAATAAGGTGATCGAGAAGCTTCTTACCGATTTCTACTTTAAAATAATTGGTAAGCAATTCCAAAAGTCTAGCTAGACCATCAAGTCCTTGAACAGTCAATTTTTTGTGATCGGACAAATTTACTAAAATAGGTCGTAGACCTGCTTGAAGTAAATCTTTTGGCAATTTATGTTGTTGTTGAAGAACTTGCTGAAGTCCTTTATTTGCTACATCAACAACTTCAGGTGCTCTCGAGTATAATGACTTAAAAAAAACGGTTGTAATTCGAGATCGGGTATTAACAGCAGTATTCTGTGGAAAAGTTTCTGAACGTGCCATAGCTTTTGATAATAATTTAATACAGACGATCCGTAAGTTTATTGCAGACGCCGAATTTTTGAATTGTGTAGTTCTACTAACCAAATTTTGATCTTCGGCATCAGCTAACTGAAGGGCTTCGTTAAGTAACCTTACTAATTCTTCATTCTGATGGAAATCTAAAAACGGAGGATCCAATGATAAACAAAATGTAATAGCATCAATATGTCCTATTTGCATTGAAGGTGGAAGAGCTCGAAGTGGTTTTCCAAAAATAGGATTAAGTAATTCATCTCTCGCTTTAGAAAGTAATACGGTCACATCTTTCTTCGTTAATTCAGCTAAAAGATAAAATGCTGTTTGTACAGTTTCTCTAACTGTAGCATTTGCGTTTGAAAGTTCAGAAACTAAGAGAGTAATAAGCCTGTCAAATTTTTGTCTATCAGGCGATTCTTGAGGAATGTCTGACATCTGATTATCATCTCTATCAACAAGTTGTTCTGTTCGATTGCAAACCTTAAGAACATGCAATAAAATGTCCGCCGCATTATCAACATAGCCAGCCGCGAATTCAGACGACATGTCTTTTAAAATAAATAGCAAAGACTTAACGAATTCAAGTTGATGGTCCATCATCCATCGAGTCCCCATGTCAATTTGTGAACTAAGAACTGATATACCCATACAGCCTCCACTTTTACGATACCATTCTTGTTTGTAACAGCAAGAACAAAAACGTGATGCCAAAACGTGAAACATAGGGAAATAATATATTACTTCCTTTGTTCCTGTAACCAATATACATGTTTCGTATATTATCTTCAAAGCTGACGCAGCAAGTTCGCGGAGTTTGCTATTTTCAGATGTCATAACTTCTACCAAAGCATCCACCATAATTTTATTCTCTAAGTTGTATTTTTTCTCATAATTATGGAAATCAATTTTTTTCTCTCTAGTATTACGGAAATCAATAGCTTCACCAACCTCTAATAAAGCAAAATGTTTACAAATATCTTGTAAGAAAGGCCAAGCTTGATCTTTAAGTTCAGGTATAGATGAAGCAACAAATAATGCACAAATCGCATTCTGCAATGTATCTTCTTGTAAATTCTTTCTTCTCAAAATTTGTTTGTGACCCTCCTTTTTAACTTTTTTCGATATTGCTGATTGATTTTCACTATTAGGTAAGTCAACATCCATATTGTCATTGTCTGTAAGACTTGCTGACAATTTACTATTTAGCAATTCTGTATTTTCTCCCATTACATTCGGCAAAAACTCTTGATGAAGTCTTTCGGTAATACAAGCAGCCAAACCTTCATCTCCTTCGTTCAAATCGAACAAAAGTGGAATAGTAGCAACTAAAAATTTATAAGCGTGCTTTCTATAAAAAGTAGAGACATTAGAATCTTGCAATGTTCTTATAGATAACGATAAACATTCATCTAAAGAAAATGAATGTGACGTCAATGAAGGATCAAAATAAATTTGAAGATCTAGACCGCTTAATGAAGGTATATTTGTTGCAAGTTGTGGCGGATCCTTGAGCATACGACGATTTCGACCTCCCAATTTACCTAATATCCTAGTCGTCACAAGACTATGAGATTGATTATACGGTGATGGTTTAAGATGTTTCCACAAGGCGTGCATCAAGTCATTAATAACGGGTGCCATTATAGGATCCAAAAACTCCGGCGTCAAATTGTCGATGCAAAGTTCCAAAGTTCTCAGGCCTTGTGTAACTAGTTCTGTACCAGCTTGTAACGCCAAGACAAGAGGCTTCATCAGGAAACTTAGATAAGGTAAAAGTACACTGAGACGAACAGGAACCGTAAGACATAATTCAACAAATAAATCACGCATGCGCTGCTTGTTTGTTAATGAAAGGAGGGTATTCAATCCTTCTAAAAGCACTTGTAATAATGGTAAAACTTCTTTATATAACATTTCAAATCTACCACCACCAATACTTCTGAAAAGAATCCTAAGCAACATAAAATAATTGAATGGCTCTTTGGCCTTTGCTGATAATTTCATTGACGAAGTAATGATGTTAGCAAGGTGTGGGTGAAGAACCATTTCATTTTGATGTGGAAAAGCGGTAACAGACATAAACGCCAATTTGAATAAACGAAGCATTATGGAAGAGTATAATGTATCCTGTCCTCCTAGTTTATCTAATCTATCTACAAGAAATCGCAATAGAATTCCGGCAAAATTTTGAGAAATTACTTCATTAGTTGCCAAAAATAATTGTGGAATTTGTAATAATGAAGGGTTTTGTAGTATTTTATCAAAAAAGAGACCCATTTGCGATGCAAATATTTCTTGGAAAATTGCAGGATCTATAAAGAAAAATGCACTACTAAAATGCTCCAACGCATCTTTTTCAAGCTTCGAAAATGGTCCAATTCTACTTGAACTTTCTAAAGATATTAATTTCTCGGTAAGTTTTATTTGAGATCTTTCTAAATTATCTACATTAAAATAATCAAAACAGCAAACACCATCTCGGAATAGACGAACAAAAATATCTATTTGTTCTTGAGTAAAACCACGTGCAACAGAATTATACAGCTGGGGATTTATAGAATTTACGTTAGAATTATCTGGTTGTGGTAGTGGCGGATTGGTTTGTTTCAATCCAATTATAATTGGTTTAAGGCATGATACAAGATTTCTGAATAAAAATCGTCCCTCTAAATAACAAACAATAAATAATTTAGTATAAACACTGTTAGAAATTACAAAATAACGAAATACCATTTATTATATCCTGCTGTAGTTCATTAGGTGAAGCTGTATGGATAGGCCGTGCTTGTTCAAAGTCGAAATAATCAGTTGATTGTTCTGCCGAATTATCTTCATTAAATTCTGTACTTTTCTTTTTCTGATGGTGACGTTGATAATCCACAAAAAGAAGATTCAATGTTGTAAATTTAGTGGCAAAAGTATCCAATATTTTTATTAACAATTCTCTTGCTATTATAAAGAATGCAACTTGTTAATTCGCGTTTTAATAAAATACTGATAAAATCACCGGACGTACCTTCGTCTTTGTCATCTCTTTTAGGAATATTTACAATACATTCAGTTAGGTTTAACAGTAATTTTGAACACATTGTTTGAATACCGGCAGCCAACGTCGGATCGTGTAGATTGCGCGAATACATATATACTGTTTTGGAAAGTTGTGTAGGAGTAAGCTTGTTTCGTACATGATGAACTAAATCTGCTAGCATACTATATGCCATTGGCCTACATTAAAGAAATATTTTAAGTTATAATAAACTATTTAGAAACTGAAATTACGAAAAGTTAAATAGTCACGTGCCTTAACGTATCATGAGACGTAACGCTAGTACCAACCAATACTTTCTCATCGAGGAGAATATCAATTTTGTTAATAAAAGTATTTCGAATGTCAGTCGACAGAATATGTCTGGTTGCAACCAATAAATCCTATTCGACAAGAAATAAGTAAAATTTTTTTAATAATGAGCACGTGAATTTCACGTGAAAAACATAAAACACGTGATATTCGAAAACCTTTCTAGTTGCTGAAGCTTCGGGGGGACAATCTTGCAGAAGTCGAATAACGAAATCCGGTATCCTATTTTGATATTCAGACAGCGAATCCGGATAAGCTCGTAAAAAATATGCTAGGAACGACATTGTCTATTCAAGACAAGTAATAAATACGTTAGATATTCTCAATAATGCATCGACTCGCATATTACATATAAAACTTTACTTTGACTTGAGCAACTATGAATTCTGTATATTTTACACGGTCCCTGATTCCCGGAGCAACTCCAACAAAAATTTCGCCTCTGGAATTAGCTGCTTCGTGAGCTTCTGCTTGTGGACGAGCTTGAAGTCCTAACGTCTGATATATTTATAATATCCAATATTTTTTTTTCAATAACAGTTAATCGCTTGTAATGACTTGTTAGCATTCAAATTACCTTTATGATAAGCGGAACAAAACTTTTTATACTATCATTTACAAATTCACGGCGTGATTGAAACAGTAAAACTACAATAATAGGACATTCTGTCAAGACTTTAAAACTGTGTAAACTCTTCGCTAAGACTTTGTTTGGTGTAGCTTCATTAGTTGTTACGTCGGATACAGGTGATGTAGGCCTGGGAGAAGGTGGTACTATTGTTTGAATTGGCTGATTGACGCGTAAATATGATAAGAGAAGAGTCTTAATAATACAAAACATTATGCTTAAAGAAAATTCGATACCATATTAAATACTCACAGTGCTAGCACCAGGCGTTGCAGAAGATCCGGATGAATCAAAGGCATCCTTTACCGTTTGTTCCATATTCAAATACATTTCTCTAACTATATCTAAAAAAGGCTGGACTTGATCCTCCAAAAGTAGTTTATAACTTTTATACAATTCAATAATAATTTTTAAACATATAACAGCGTTATCTTCATTTTCTACTTTTAACAAGCCCATTAAGAGTTGTAATAGTTCAGTTGCGTATGGCTTAAGCGCTTCATTCTGCGGCAATCGATAAAGCACTTCCAAGAGAAGATTTCTTAGTTTCTGCAAAAGCAAAATAAATGTTTTAGTTGAAACACAATACACTAATATCCGTAAAAAAAAAACTTACTTGCTCTTCGGAATTGCTGTGAAAGACTGGCTGTTCATTTTCAAGTATTTTTTTCAAAACTGGTATCAAAACTTCTAGGAAATGGTTATAGTCGGCATTTTGATATGCTTCAATAGAATCCCGTAAATTAATTGAAATTGTTAATTTTGTTCTAGTTGCTTTAGTAAAGCGAAAACAAAATAAAAAGTATTATTAATAACGTTGAAATCATGTAAATTAGAAAGCAGGTGAAAAAGAATACACGTACAAATGTTAGGATCGGCTAACCTAGTAGCAAATATTTCAGGAGAAGAGTACTCAGAACCCGCCATTTTGACGGAAATTTTTTATAAATTAAAAAAGTAGGAAAAATGACAAAAGGAAATAAGACTGCAGTAAAATAGCGGAAGAAATCGTATCTGAATCGGCGTAAAAATTTCAAGAATATATCGTTCCTATAAGTATAATGGAACAGCGAAGCTGTTCAGCAAGAAAATTAAAAAAATTCTCGATGAAAAGTTTACAGCTTCCATTGTTAAAAGTGGTGTCTTTATATACCTGTGAACGGAGTTGAATTCAAAGTGGGGGATAAGGTCAGAAATTCACGGAAACGTCACCATTTTGTATTACCAAAAAAAGTAAGCTTATTAAAATGCGTCACCTAATCGGCCAATAAGATTCGATCTTCCGTAATGACGTAGTTAGTTATCAGCCAATAAGATTTCTCCCAGATCTTATTTTTCGATCGATTCGTGTTGCACAATAAGTCATGTATTGTATAACATAAAAATGTATAAAATTTCTAGTTTCTACGTCATATCATCATATTAATTATAGTAATAAAATAAATAATTATTAAAGAACCTTAAAAAAAATATTTATTACCAGTGTTTAACAGTATTCAAGTAAAAAACTTTAAAATTTAATATATAAATCAATGTATTTTATATTAAAGTTATATAATTAAAAAAATTATCATTAATATATATACAGTTATTCTATATATATGGTCACATCCTGCATAATCACAATTCTTTTATAATAATCCCAAATTATTAAAACTTATTAATTACCTTTCCTTTAATTATATCATATATAATTTTTATAACTAGGAAACAGAAACCGTTGTAAGTCCAGAGCAAAAAATTTTGTATAAAAAATTTAAAAATTTTTATTTGTTTATTTTTTTTTTTAAACACTATCTTTTGTACTTTTCAAGATTAGCTAAACAAGATAAAAAATGATTAAGTTTAAACTATGTTTCTACGAAAAAAATAAAGCTAAAACATTAGGAACATCTCTTTAAAGTTAAAAATTCAAAAAAAAAATTTATTTAAAAAACCCTATCGAAAAAGTATCAAACAAATAAAAAATCTGCTCTTTTCAATTTATCTTTAAAAGTCCAGTGTGTACAAAATCCTGGTGCTTCTAGAAAAAACAAGAAATGAAATGTTAGAAACGTTTCTTTAAACTCAAACAAATAAGAAAAGTCTCTCTTCCTTATTTATCTTTAAAAGTCTGCCATGTACAAAATCCCAGCATCACTAGAAAAAAAAAAATAAAAATAAAATGTAAGAAACATTTCTTTAAAGTCAAACAAATAAAAAAAACCCCTTCTCTTCCCAATTTACCTTTAAAGTCCGTATATTCAAAAAATCTGGAAACCTTAAAAAAAAATAAGAAATGAGACGTTAGAAACGTTTCTTTAAAGTCAAACAAATAAAAAAAACCCTCTCCTTTTCCCAATTTACCTTTAAAGTTCAGTATGTTCAAGAAATCTGGAAACCCTAGAAAAAAATAAGAAATGAAAGAAACGTTTCTTTAAAGTCAAACAAATATCTTCTCTATTTTACTTTAAAGACTGGTGTGTACAAAAAATCAGCATCTCTAAAAAAAAAAATAAAAAATGAAATGTTAGAAACGTTTCTTTAAAGTTAAACAAATAAAAAAAAAACCACCTCTTTCTAATCTACCTTTAAAGTCTGGTATATACAAGAAATCCAGAAACCTTAGAAAAAAAAATAAGAAATAAACCGTCAGAAATATTTCTTTGAAATCAAAATAAGAAAAAAAATATACTTACTATTCTGCCGAAACTTAAAAAAAAAATCAAAAAAAAAATTGTTTATTTTTGATGTAGCATGAAATTTCAATGATACGCTCTGTACAAACCAATCAAAAATGACGCGTACAGACAAACAGACTTCATCACATGATCTAATATGTCATTAAGGTTCATAAACATATATAGTCCTTCGCTTCACTCTGAACAATTACACTATTTTTTTAATCCCAAAGGATGTGAGTATATAGAAAGATAACTGTATTAATAAATTTATAAAAAATATTATTACAATTACTATCCTTTAATTTATAGAACTTTGCAAATATATTTGTATGCTAAAATTATTTATCATCTAAAAATTTTAAACTATAATAAATTATATATTTTTAGATAGCTCTGGTTTCAGACTTTATATTTATTTTTACCTAAATAATTATAAATGAAATTTATTTTAGACTTATATATGGCCTGGTAATTTTTTGGTTAAAAATATAATTCATAATTTATAATATATAAATAATTATATAGTACATAAATAATAATATATATAAATAATTAAATATATTTTTACATATATTTTAATATTTAATAATTAGATTTTAATGATTTTGAATTATTTCATTATAATAAATTAAATGGTATTTATATAGCAACCCTCTTTTTTTATATCAGGTATACATTAATTGAGAAAGGATTCTTAGATAAATAAAACCTAATTCTTGAAAATTCATGTGATTTTTAAAGCTCTAATTAGTTTGATTTAAAGCTTTGCAACCTGATCTAATAGATTGGGTAACTTAACGGGTTGACTTAAAATATTCAGGTCAGGTCATCAAATTTATAATCTGACTCAAGTTAAATCCATCAGGAAATTTTATAGCGCGAAAAATTGCGTAAGTTTACGATTTTGTAAGTTTACGAAAGTTTATGGCATAATATTTCGAAAAATTTCAAAATATTACGTAAGTTTACAATTTCGTAAGATTTAT